TCACACACTGTTCAGACTTTGTTATACCTGACACGTCATTTGTCAAATATGTATGAAAGAACAAACCGTTTCTTACTGTTCACTGAACTAAAACTCCTCTGCATATGAACCTACTAAACTCTAAAGGGTTTCTGCAAGGTGTTTCTCAGTCAAGGAAAAGTTTGACCTCAATTACAACAGAAATGCATTGCCTCAAGACTACAGAAGTGAACTTGCTACCTAATAAATTGTTAATTAAATTTTATTTTCAGACAGCTATAAAAATCAGGCACTTTCCTTCCCCATAGTCATGGAGGGCAGAGCCCAGAGCAGTCCTGGTGCTGCACCAGGTCAGGCTCACACGTGTGGTGTGCACAGCTTTGCGTGCGGATCCAGTACACAACAAACCACTGTGGTTTGGTTTTCCATGAAATTTCTTCTTTTTTTTTTTGGTTGTTACCATGGAAATAATAGCAAATGAAGTCACCAATGGAAAATTGCAATTAGTTTTTGGAAACAACCCTGGATCAACCAGTTTAATAGGACTCAAACACTTGCCCATCTGTTTTTGCTTCTCTGTTGCCAAACTCACTTGGATTACCTGTGTGACTGTGTTCTCACACCAAATGTTTTATTCTCCCTGAACGTGTGTGCATTTTGTTATGGAAAAGGACTAATGGCACCAGACAGGGTAAGTCTGCCCTAATCAGCACAGCTATTCAACAGTTATGAGAAACCCCTTGGTAATGAATATTTGGCATAAAGTTGCAGTCCTGCTTCACCTGAGCCTAAAGAAACGATGGAAAAACCTGCTGTGCGTACACAAAAGAAGAAAATACATTTATAACATGACAAAGTTCAGCTGCTTTTTAAAAAATAAATGGCAATTTTCCATCGAAGGGGCAGTTCATATTAAAAAGGCAACCTATAGAGCTGGCTCTCGGGAAACCGTGAATAATTGTCTGCAAATGCCTTTTGGAATAAGGAGCTCTATTAATGCATTCAGCTGAGACTTCTTTGCTGTTTATTCGGGAGCTAAAAGCAAGTGGTCATCTCCCCTAGAGTTTGCCCAGACAATTCTTTCAAGTTTTTCTGAGAGTACCCCAGTGTGTTACTGAAAGCCAGATATCTTACTTTTCTATGGTGAGGCCGCAGCACACCAAGTGATGTGATGGCTTTCTCTGTCCTGGATTATCCCATCTCACGACGACAGACTACTCAAGGCATCCACTCAGAATTACCTGGGGAGCCTCAGCATTAAAACCGTTTCATGAGCTCTAACCAGAAGTATTCTTGCAGCAGCACTCGACCTGGATTTGTGATACCCTGTAAATTCAAGTTCAGGAAGGAGCACGAGCTGTGCTGTGGTGATATCTCTTCCATTTTGTAACATAACTCGCTGCTGTCGAGAGTCAGCCAAGTCCACTCAACTACCTTCACATAATTTATGCATGGAGTAGTTACTCATTCTAATTTATAGTCTTGGTGCTGTCATTAACTGTCACTCATATAATCAATGGGACAACAGGCTGGGGGTGAGCTTGTTGTAAACATGAGTTCTAGAACCTTGTTCAGACACTAGTATGTTCTAGTGGTGTGCAATATGGAAATGTAATAGGAGCTGTAACTGGCTGTAGAACATAAACAAAAATAAAATGAGGAGAGTTATGCAATCCTTGAAGGATATTCCAGCTCATTAGTCAAGCAAATGCAGACAGGACCTTTCGAACCAGGAAAGGTGAAGTACCCTTTCATTTTGGATGCACACAAATAACTAGCACTGAAGCAGTTGTACCAAGGACTACTAAAAAGAGAATATGAAAGAACTTTCAAAACTCTCTAGTTTGCCCCCAAAGGCAGAGCTGCCCTAGATTTTGTTTAGTTTTTTTGTGTTGCTCCCTTTAGGATTACATGCCATTAGCATGTGATGGTCTTTCTTGGGATTTGGACGAATAAAGTCTGCTGATTACCAAATATTTATAAACACTTGGCCAGCACCAGACAATCAGAGGTTTTGTTCAACCATAATTACCCATTTACACTTATCCCTTATGTATTAATATGTGTGTAAGCCTTCAAGGTTTAGGACTTTAAAATAAGATCTGCAGAAATAAGACTTGAAGCATGTGATACCAAGAGGTAAGTCTCCTGATATAAAGCCTGATTTGCTTAACCCCCTTTTATTGCTGCTCAAGCAAGCATGTGATTTGCACAGAACATTAATTCAAATGAACTGAAATGTCAGGCTGTACTATATGTCCAGCCAGGGCTGAGCAGTTCAACGTGAAGAGGTTAATGCATCAACGTGGTCAATTATATCTGGGCAGCATTAGTTTTACAAAGCAATACTGATGAGAACACTATATAAATGTCTCAGAATAAAAATGGCATTGGGTTTCATAAACCAAATACTCAGAAACCCCTGAATTAAACTGCAATTAATTGTGCCACAAAGCAGATGGGTATCTTTAGTTAAAGACTAATCATTTACCTGTCCTTTCACTGTGGGTAGCTGGCTGGCAGCAGGCATTGTCTATGATGGCAAGGTACCTGAAAGTTCTTAAAATTATTTTTAATTTCAGAACTATAAAGAATAGTAGCATGGTTAGGGAAAAAATGGGGATATTAAATGTTTGCACCATGTCAAAGCTATGCTACTTTAATTACAACAGTGCTGAGTGATCTCTGCCCTTACTTCAAGACACCAATAGTTATTTATGCAGAGGGAACAGCTATTTTTAATACTCCTGGAGGTGCCATGACTCCCAGAGGCAGCTCACTCTGCTAAGGGCAGTTTTGCCCATGATGAAACATTGAGTTATGGGCAGTATGTCTGCACTTGTAGGGTTACAGAGCCAAACTCCTCCCTAGTCCAGGGAAGCATTCAACTCATAACGTTTAAAACTGTTATTTGAGGACAGAAGTTAAAGTGGCTGCAAAGAGCAAGGAGAGCTGCCTCCATGAGCACTAATCACTGGGCAACCTTTGCTCTGACTCTGCTACAGATATAATGAGGGCACAATGGAGGGAAGGAAAGCACCATGAGTGTGGATCAAGGATTTATCATCCAGCCTACATCTGTCTGACTGTGTCAGGAGAATTTGTTTCAGCTTGTAGGGGAGTTTTCCAGACAGAACCTTGGTTCTAAAATCTAACTAAAAGCTTCACCTCTAACCTGCTCCCATGGGGACATCGTTCCCCTAGTCCATGGACAGGCTCCCCGTCATAATGCCCTTCCTTGCACACCTACTGTGTTATCCACAGAGAGCTCTGGTGTTCCCCAACATGCTGGAGCCCCCACTCTATCTTTTACAACCCTTTTCCCCACTCCCAGCCCTATTGCTTTCTGCTATGGTATCTTCAGTCTCCTGAGGTGAACATGCTGCCTGGGATTCCAGGGAGGCAACTTGGCCCAGAAACCTGTGCATTACAGGAGGAGAAGCTTCCAGAGCAGCAAGACAAACTCATGGCCACATTAGAAGGTTGCCAAGCTTGTGAATGTTCCTAGGTACAAGAGGACCTGTCAGCAAAGTTACTGCACAAAACAGTGCTTTGGAAGTCTTTGGGGAGCAACTACTTCAGGGGCAGCACTGTGGATCTCTGCTTCCTCAGAAGGCCTTGAGGAGACCTTTGGACATCCTACCAAGCCAGTCACTCATTTGGATTCAAGGCCTTCAGTCCCAAAGTCTTTGTGGGAGAGTCCCAAGGAGTGAGAGTTGCTCCCTTTTCTACTGCAACTTGCCTCTAACTTCTCCTAAAATATCCAAAGGTACCATTTAACAAACGTTTTCTAACTTCCTCCATACTTACAAATCAGGAGTTCACCTGGGAAAGCAGCTGTCCCTCAACATGGAAATGCAGTACTTGGTGAAAACCACTGCTCTTGCAGCCTGCACCATGTCCCTCAGGCCA